TGCGTTTTAGGATCTCCAGGTACCTTAAATGATATTAATGTTCTTGATCGCTCACCTTTTTTTGATGACAAAATAAATCGTCAAGCTCCGCAAGTGAATTTCTCGGTGAATGGAAATCCTTATTCAATGGCTTACTATCTCACCGATGGTATTTATCAGAAATGGGCAAATTTTATCCAATCTATTTCACTACTACAAGTTCCGAAAACAGCTTTGTTTGCTCAATGTCAAGAAGCTACCAGAAAAGATGTCGAGCGTGCTTTCGGAGTCTTGCAAGCTCGATTTCCCATTGTTAAAAATCCAGACCTTTGTTGGGATAAATTCAAGATCGGGAAGATTATGAGAGCATGTATCATACTCCATAACATGATTGTAGAAAACGAACGAGATCAACAAACTCAATACGATGTTTCGAATTTCCAACAAGGAGAAGACATCAGAAGTTCACATATCGATCTCACATATTCAACAGATACCCTGACAACTATCGCCAATCAGATGGGTGTTCGAATAAGAGTTCATGATAAACAAGTGCATCAGAAACTAAAACGTGATTTGGTTGAACATATATGGACGTGATGAAGGCAACAACTGAACTTGGATGCCGCTTTCAAATTATTATCGTTTAATTTAGTTATCTTTATTTTCATGTTTTTATGTGTTTATTTTATAATCTATGTTTAGAATGTTAAGCTTGACTTTGTTTTATTTAATAAATAAGTTTTACTTTTTGAAAATAATTGTTTAAATTTTAGCTTAATATTATTTTATTGTTAATGACCTTAATTAAGAGACTACCAATAAACGATTATAATTGTGTGTGTCTTAATAATGTCTCATAGCTTAAGAATAATCATTAAAAACTCATTCTGACCCACTTAAAATACACTTAAGGGATTTACCTATAAAAATGCTCTTAGTTATGAGTTAGTTATCCTCACTACAAAACCCTTTCGAGTTTAAGTCTTTATATACTTCCTGGAGTTCCTGAGTGTTTTCTGAAGTGGTTTAGAATTATGGTTCAGGAGAAAAATCAATGATAAATTGGTTATTTGAAATCCCTCATTTATGAATGATTTTAAATTTAGAGTTTAGAGTACCGAACCGAATCAAATAGTTTCTGTAATAAACTTTACATAAAGTATAATGGATTTTTTTTTTGGCTTTGAGTGAGATAAAATAAAATAAAATATAAATGAGTATAAACCATGATTTTCTAAAGATCTAATCAAGGACTTGTAGCTAATAATTAGCCTAAATTAACAATTCCGCTAAATAAATAAAATAACTTTAAACAAATTTAAAATGAACTTTGAAGGTTAAGGGATAAAAATCAATTAAGCAAGTAAAATGGGGGTTAAAAAATCATGTCTGTAAACATGCTCTTAGTTATGAGTTAGTTATCCTCACTACAAAACCCTTTCGACTTTAAGTCTTTATTATACTTCCTGGAGTTCATGAGTGTTTTCCGAAGTGGTTTGAAATTATGGTTCATGAGAAAAATCAATGATAAATTGGTTATTCGAAATCCCTCATTTATGAATGTTTTTAAATTTAGGGTTTAGAGCACCGAACCGAATCAAATAGTTTCTGTAATAAACTTTATATAAAGTATCATGGAATTTTTTGGCTTTGACTGAGATAAAATAAAAATGATTATAAACCATGATTTTCTAAAGATCTAATCAAGGACTTGTAGCTAATAATTAGCCCAAATTAACAGTGCCGCTAAATAAATAAAATAACTTTCAACAAATTTAAAATGAACTTTGAAGGTTAAGGGATAAAATATATTAAGCAAGTAAAATGGGGGTTAATACACAAATCATGTAAATTTTGAACCATATTGACCCATGACCCAAAACTTTTCCAGCTTTGCTGCTGGTCTAATTTGAAAAATAATGATAGGTAGCAGTGTTTTGAAACTCGACCAGGACATCAAACCGGATAACTTCCCTGGTCACCATATCATTGGATCGACTGTAAGTGAGTAGTGGGTTAATAAATTAATTATTTTTATTATATAATGATATATTTGCTATGAAAATAAAAAATATATAGAAATTATAGATATATTTTATGTTTTAAAAACATTTAGGAAATACTTAAATTTAATTTGTATATTTTTATTTTCATTTGACATACAAAATATCAAAAAAAGAAATTATACTATTTAAAAATTGTGTAATAAGTTAAGAACTTAAAAGTTATGGCATCTAACAATAAATATCAAAACTTAAAAAATTTAGAATACAAAATAGATTCTAAAAACATAGTTAAAAACTAAAAAAAAACACAAGTTATTAATTGGTTTGATCAATAGTACCGTAACTGGATTCTGGATTTTTAAATATTAGTTTTTCACAAAACCCATATCGGATTTATTTTTAGTTACCAGGTTTACCGGTTCAACCGCCGATCTGGACCGTAGAATCAAAACCCTACGAAAATAATAGCTAAATTGCAGAAAAAATAGCAGAACTCAGTGCCCTGGTTTCAAACCAACGTTCCATAGCTTTTTCAACCTGCCTCCTTCCCTCCTGCGGATGGAAGATATGCAAGCTGGGACTTGTTTGTCCATGTTGCGAATGAGTGTAGCATGGTCTTTTGGAGCTTCTCCACGTCGCTGTTTCGCTCACACCTAATAGAAGAGATCACTGCTTGAAAAACATATCTGAGAGGAAATAAAGTGACCTAGTCTTGTTATTGATCTGCCACATTTCTACAATTGAACTCCATGCATTTGAGTATCTTATACCCAATTATTTGATGGTAGACCTTTCCATGTTATCTGTGAAAGAGCAAAATAAATATCAATGATTCCTGGTTTCCACAATATCATATAACTGATGGGTCAACTTTATCATTTGCCTTAATCTGACTTGAAGAACCTGCACAGATAATTAATCTATTATTATAAAGAAGGGTTTCCCTCAATCTAAGCCTTCCACGTCAGAAAATAGTAAAAGCACATGAGGACACGTGTTCTCTTCGGACAAAACTCAGCGTTTTATTAAAGTAATGGGCTACTGCATTGGTTTTGATACAGTTTCGAGCCCAGTAATGATGGGAAAATTTTGGCTCTATGAGATTCACGCTAATGCTAGGGTTTCAGTTCTTCTTCCCTCATCGACACCAAAGCTTTTGTGTTTTGTAGTTTAGAGGTATCGATTGCCTCACATGTGCATGACATATCTCTTTCTTGCTCTTCGATTGTGCGTTGTTCTGGTTAATTAACTGAAACGCTCCGAGTTTCAGATCCATCTTCTTCTTCGATCTCTCAAGACCTCAACCCACAATTGAATTTCAGGAGGTTGCGTGAGACGAATCTTCAGGAATCTCTCGATCAAACTCCGTTTGTGTCGTTCGTTGGGCCGTTTCGTCTGCAATTCATCTCATTTGAAACCTTACATGATGCATTGATCCATTACCACCAACAACTTTCTTTACTCCTTATGCCAACTTTCTTTCATCTCTTTATCACCCTCATGCTTCCTAAACCTTGCTGTTCCATTTATTAATTCAGAAATTAGTTTATATTTTTGTCTCAAAATCGCTGCATAATTTTTGTTCATTTTAGCTTCTGTTGATGAAATGTGGCGGCAAGTTATATATGCTGGAAGTCTACGACATCACCCCAAAAACTCAAAAAAAAATTTTATGTCCTTGAATGGAGTCATAAATGAGTGTGGACTTTTCTCTACTATCTACCAACTCCTCTCTTAATCGGTCTATGAAAGTCAAACGTTAATATAAGTATTAGACCAGAGTGTTACTTCATTGTTCTAACCTGAACCGTGATTTCTACTTCAGGAGAAACCAGGAACTCATCAAAGAGCTCATCGGAAGATCTCT